GGCAAAGCTGCTCTCTAAGGGAAGTGCCAGCGGATCACAAACACCCAGCCAGGGCGGGCGGCATTCGGGTCGTCAAGGTCTCGTCCAAACCACCCACCCACAGCGAGCGGCCGGAGAGGGTTTGCGGAGGGAAGGGCCAGCGAGACTTTGCGGTGGCTCCAGGGAGTCTGGTGGCTGGAACAGGGAGCCCTGCGCGCCCGATTGCTAAGGGAACAGCGAGAACAGCATCCCCAGCACCCACCCAGGCGGCGGCAGGGTGCACTGGCACCATCTGGTAGGTGAATCAGCCTGCAGACGAGCTGCTGGCAGCTCTGCCGAGAGGCCCTCCCAAGTCAGAGGTGAGATGGAAGATGTGCCCGTTGCAGCCACCCCGCCGCACCCGTGCCACCACAGCAGCTCCCTTCCAAAAAATCACCATAGGAAAACGCCTGCGTGAGGAGTGGCACTGGCGTTCACCCACCTCTTGGTGCTGGACCACCCTGCCATCCAGGGCACGACATACACCCAAGATGCCAGGAGTTCAAAGCTAGATTAGATCCCGATAACGATCCTCTCCAGCCTTAAAAAAGGGCGAGAGGAGAAGAATGATGGAGGAGGAGCAGCAGCAGGGCACAGAAGGAAGCTGGAGGATGGAAATTAAAGCAGGTTGTGGTTTATTTAGGCCACCTTCCTGCAAAGCCTTGGTGGCGAGATTACACAGCAGCCTCCTCCAGCTCTGCCAGCACACACCATTCTGGTTACCAAGAGCCAGAAGGGACCCTTAAGATGAGCCCTGAGCATCTCATCATCTCAAAACAAGATCCAGCCCCAAGCTCAGGACGACAGACGCAGTGAGACGACGTACCCAGATGAATAAAGCCATCAAACACTAGCAGCTAATGTATAACCAGGGCTGGAACTGTCCCCGACACGAGGCAGATCCATATAAACCAGCAAAAACTCACCTCTGGCTGTCCTTTCTATCCGGCAGCACCACAGGTACCGGTAGATGTCAAGCTGCTCTTCTGCCAGGACAAGGTCCAACGGTTTCCTGCCCAGTGTCCCACCTGTCCCACCACTGCTCCCCGTGCCCCGTCACCGCTCGGTAATTAAATCACTGGAGGTAGAGCATTTGGGCAGAGGTTTGCTGCGTGTTACCTGTGTGTAACGCTCAGCTCGAGAAGGTGCCTTGCTCCGAGAGCAGTTCCCACCCAGGCGGGACCCCAGACGCTCCGCAGTGAGGACACCCACCGAAGGGACACCTGGCAGTGCCTGGCAGACAGGGGACACCACCTCACCTGCGCCCGGACCAGCGACTCAAAGCTGGGCTTGAAGTAATCGATGCGGCTGCTATAAAACTTGGGCATTTCCTCCAGGAGCTGCTTGTTTTTGGCTTCAAAGTCCTCCTTCACTGGCCTCAGCTCTTCACGGGCCTGGGAAAGGAGAGAGGATGGGGAGTCAGAAAGTGCCTTTCCCTTGGGCAGACCTGCACGGAGGCCACCCCAGGCCAGTGGACTGCTCTGCTTTGACCCAAGGACAGCCAGTGACCAGCTAACGGGATCTGGTGGGATCCAACTGACCAGCTAACGGAGTCTGGTGGGACCCAAGTGACCATCAAATGGAGCCGGTGGGACCAAAGTGACCAGCTCATCTAGCCTGGTGGGACCCAAGTGACCATCTGATGGAGCCCGGTGGGATCCCAGTGACCATCCGATGGAGCCCAGTGGGACCCAGGTGACCATCCGAAGGAGCCCGGTGGGACCCAAGTGACCATCCGAAGGAGCCCAGTGGGACCCGAGCAACCAGCTAACAGAGCCCGGTAGGACCCAAGTGATGAGCTAACGCGGTCTGGTGGGACCCATGCAACCATCCAACGGAGCCTGGTGGGACCCAAGTGATGACCCAGTGGAGCCTGGTAGGACCCAAGTGACCATCCAATGGAGCCTGGTGGGACCCAAGTGACCAGCTAACGGAGCCTGGTGGGACCCAAGCTCTGGCCTTGGAAATCCATGGGTCACCTAAAGAGGCTGCTGCAGAGATCACAAGCCAGCCTGTCTTCTCCCCTTCAGAAAAACGGGCACGAAAACAGCCCCACAGCTCAGCCAGGCTGGAGAACGTCCCCATCCACATCTGTGTCCCCTCACCCTGCGATTCCCAAGAACATGGCCAGAGGATCCTGCCCCCACCATCATTTTCGCCCGTGACCTTCAGCTCAGCGCGTCCAACTGGCTTCTTTAAACAGAAGCGTGGGGAGAAAGGGAAATGTCTCTGAGATGGTGTGGAAAAGGGCAGGAGGGGGTGGGCTGTGAAATATTAGACCGGTTCAAGTCTGCCACTTAATCCCGGTGCCATTCCGACGGGAGGGGGATGCGGGAGAAAGCCGGCGAGCCCAGCCCAGCCGCGGCGCCGGTCCCGCTCCCCGGGACAGCGTGCCGGAGGGACGGCACGGACAAAGCCTTCAATCATACCAGCCTTAAGTAGGTCCGAGAGGCAAAGGAGCAAATTCATCGTGTTCCGTGAAACAAGGAGCCAGGGTGGAGCTGACATGGGGCACCAAAGAGCAGAAGACTTTGAGCAAACAGCTCTGAAGGGAAGATGCAAATTTGCAGCTCAATAAAAATACCTGGATGAGATTATGGTGTTTTCCATCAAATCTGTGGACCTCTCGGATGCCCCGGGTTCAGGATTGCTTAAGGCTCCCGTAGGCGTTTTAAGCTCATGCAGGGGTTAGTGAAGATCTTTTTTTTTTTCTTTTTTTTTTTTTTTGGGGGGGGGGGGATTAGATCATACAGAAGTTCATTAAGGGAAAAAAAATTAAATAACTAAAACCTGCTTAATCACTAGGACAAAAGCATTCACATTTTTCCAGCCACAGCTTTAGTCACCGAGGCTAAGCGAAGTAAGCTGCTTACTATTAAATCGGAGGTCTCTTTTGTTAAGGCTGATAGGGCTATTCTTTAACACAAAACTTAATTTTTGTAGGCAAAATCATCAGAAAATACACGTTCTGTGATGCCGAGAAAGTCAACTGTTCCTTCGAGGATCAAGCAACGTTCTGCAGGAGCAACAGATTTGGGGAGCAACGCTGGTGGTGAAGATTTAATTAAAAAAAAAAAAAAAAAAAACATGATTTAACTAAAATTTGGGAGAGAGAAAAGAATCTGGCAAAGCTTCCTGTTAACCAATTACTGCAATTTTCCGAGACGAATTTTTGTAACAGGTGGCAAACACAAAGCCTCAAAACGCTCTGATCTTCCCCTCGTCCCATCCAGCTGCTCACCCAGACCCGGAGGTCAGGGGAAACCCCCCTGTGCATCTACTTCGACTGTCCCCGGCTCCCGTGACTTTTATTCCATTTTATTTTGGAAAACCGGCTCTCTCCCTCGGCTGAGTTCTGGCTCTAATTCACATTTCTGTTACCAAGCACCCTACGGGGCCATTCTACATCGATAAAAAACATCCTTCCAAAATGTTCTGTTTCACGAGGGCTTGGCATGGATGTCAGATGCCGAGAGGAAAGCTCTTCCCGAGTTTTCCCAGTGACCCTGCTCGGGTTCTGGGTCCGTGAGCATCGCGGTACCTGGTGCAGCTTGGCGAGGACGGGGCCAGTCCTCTCCTTCTCCTCGTATTTCTCCACCTTGGACTGCAGGCGCTTGTAGTCCTGCAGCGTTTGTTCCCGTCTCTTCACTGCCATGTTCAGGCTGGGAAAAAAATGGGGAAAGGATGGGAAGAGGATTTTAGGTGGGATATCTTGGCGGGATGCAGCATCCCAGACAACCTCCCAGCCAAAAGTCTCCAAATAATTCAGGATTCGGAGGGAAAATACTCAGGGGTTTAAACAAAGCCTGTTGCGAAGACAAAAGCTTTCAGTGCCATCTTCCAGGAGACTGGGAGGAAGGATTAAGTTACGTATGAAGATGTGCAGAGCCTTGCCAGGGCACGGTGTTTGAGAGGAGAAGCTAAAAGCACACACTTGGGGTTCTTTGTGCAGGTCAATTCATGTGTCGAAGGGTGTGTTTTTCAACAATAATCATCACAAAAATCGAGCCAATTTTGCAAAGCCGTGTAAAAGCACTTCGAAGGTCCCAACCTGCTTCTGGGTTCTCCTGCCAGCCCTTCTGCTTTTGCCATTAGTTATTTATTTTTAACAGGTTTCCCTCCCCTCTCTTCCAGCTGCTCTACTGAAGAACACGGAGAGCTGCCTTATCTGGGACGGGGGACGGAAGCTGCTGCAGAAAACAAAGCTGTTAACTCCACCGAGCAACCCAAAGAGAGAAAAATAAACAACTTTTCCCCTACATACAGTTGGCTAAAGTGGCATTTCCCCAACACCGTGTTTGGAAAGGGAATGAGCAGGGAGAGGAGTCGAATCAAAAGTCTGGGAAAAAATAAATACCAAGTGCCAAATCAATACAAACTGCAGCAACTTTGGCTTTTTTCGGGCAATTTCTGAGGTTGCAGAGCCCAGCCTGCCGTGCAGCACGGCTCGCCCAGCAGAAGAGCAGCTCTGTGCCCCACGCAGAAGGATTCACAGCAGCCAACAATTAGCCAGGCTACAGGAAGATTCATATTATTAAAATGTGTTACAAATTGAGGAAACATGAACATCTGACGGCGAAGACAAGAGAGAATATTTTTGAACGCGACAGAAGAGGGGAAGCCAGAAACTGGAGCATTGCTCTTGTCTCCCAAATTTCTGTAAATCAAATTATACTGGGGGGGAGAGGGACTGTGCTGGTGCTGGGCTGTGGGTTTGTACAAAACGGGTCACACTACCTCTGGATAGATTAATTTAATCTCCACAAATTATAGGGTCATTTTGGGGGGCCAAGGCCAGGAACCGGTGACGAAAAAATGTGTCTAAGCAGCCTGGTGATGACTTTCACTTCTGAGAAAAGCGAGCAAACAGCTTTCTGATCCCTTTAAATTGAAATTAAAAAACAAAACCACAAAGAACAAAACTATAATCCAGGCTGGGGGGCACATTAGCAAAAAGAAAAACGCAAATCCCACTTTACGACTGTAATTTGCTTTAGATGGGATCAGATGCCGGGCTAATACAGAGGCATCCAGGTGCAAACAAAACCACGGGCATTCACAGCCGCTCCATTCCCGATTAAAACCCCATTTTCCAACGCCGTGCTCGCCCCGGAGGGTGCCAATGTGCCGGATTGGATCAGCGGGTGCAGAGGCGAAGCTTTTGTCCCTAAGCCTTAGCAGTTTGCAAAGGGCAAGTGCCAGAAACGAGGGGGAAAGGGAAACATTTGTGATGGAGCCGTTGTGTCCGAGCATCCCTCATGGAGATGGTGAACCGGGGCCGGTCCTCACGCGGCCAGCGAGCCCCTTGTGTGCTCGCCCGGGATATTCTCCTTCTGACCAGCGACTATTGCAAGAGATTATCATCGCAGCGGGGGTCGCGGCACCAGGAGCAACCTGCAAAAGTCATCAGGGAGCTCGCCTGGCATCACCCTGCCCAGCTGCCCAGCGCACGCTGCTGCCCTGACATGGCTTTTTATGGTAACCTTCGCGCACAGCTCCCTATTATATTTAAATACCGCGGTGGCTTATAGGTCTGCTGGGCTCCAAGCGTGGATTCTCCATCTCCTGGGTTATGGGGTGCTGCTAAAATACCTTCTCTCTCTATGTAAGGTCCAAAAATATGCCATGAGAGGGGTGGGGAAAGTGGGGTGGGCAGCAAGAAGGACACGGAGGGACGGGGTATGCAGGTTGAGTGGTCTCCTCGGTATAAAAGCACAGAGGTTCTTTGCCAACGGTGCACACTTCGCATCAGCAGCTTGAGGTTGCAGTTTCTGCAGAAATTTCTCCCAATTATTAATGAGCTGGCAGGGGAAAGGAAGGATCCCGTCAGGCCAGCGGCTCTTGGCTTTATTTTTGTGTCCCTGATCGGGGTGGGGGGGGTTTGGTAACGGCACATAACCGCTCACCTCTCGGCATCGCACCCCAAAGCGGGGCAGGAGCAAGTTGCAGGTCTCTAAGGACCACAGGGGTGAGCCCAGCTGCTCCTCCGCAACCAGCTGCTCCTCCACCACACACCTCCGGGCTTGGGAAACATCGGAGGAGATGGCCATGGGCTGGGAAATCCTCCCTCCCCTGGTCTGCAGGGAGGCTGGGCACCCAACGTTGAGCTGAGGTTGTCCCCTCCAGGGCCACCAAGCCACCAGCATGGCCTGGACATGGCCATCCTTGCCCACGTATCCACCAACTCTTGGAAAACACTTATCAGGATGTCTCAAAACCTCTGAGCCTCGTGTCGGTGCCCAACGCAGCTTTTAAACGGCGTTTTTTTGAGCTTTTGAGCCCTTTCTCTCGCACACGCTCCCGTGCTCGGCGCTTCCACGGTGCTCGTCCATGAAAAGAGCCACGAGACACCGGAGAATTAACGCGCAGCCACTTCCATCTCACCAACCCGCTACCGCAGGCGAAGAGCGAACCCTGCAGCTGAGAAACGCAGGAGATGATCAGCGACACAGTTTCCAATCACTTTGAAGTCAAATGTGGTTTTTAAAAACGCAAAAAGCTTGACTATTACTTTTTTTTTTTTTCCCCTCCCCTTTTTTGTTCCTAATATCGCCTCGGTGCGATTTTGCAGCCCGTGGTGGAAGGACACCGTACTCTGGCAGTGTTTTAACACATCTACAGGGCTGGATCTGCAGAGGCTGTTACCATGTAGGCACAGCAACTACTGTCTCACCAGGACTTTTAATGCATAGATTATACGCTGCATTTCAGAGCTGGGGGAGCAGCTCAGCTCCACGAGCTGCTGTTAACACCACACACCACACCAGCTCCACGGATCCGCAGCAACGCCGGGCACAGCCTGGGTGCCCTGGGCTCCAGCCCGGGCACTGGAAACATCAGCGTGAAGTGATGGGGTGCTGAGGGATGCGCGCAGGGGCTCGAACCACCCCCCCAGAGATGCTCGAGGGCTTTCAAGGGCTGCAAGCAACAAAATTGAAACCCAGTTGAGTTTTTTCCTGAGCAGCAGCAGCTGAGCAGCGAAGCGGCAAGGGGATTGCTGAGCTGCTTGCAGACCCCACGGGGCAGCTGAGGTTGTTTTGGCGCGGTGGTCTTTCACCACTGGCACCAGCAGGAAGGACCAGGCCAGCCACGGCTCCCCTGTCAGCATGCCAACCGAGCTCTCTCTGTGCCAACCGAGCTCTCTCCATGCCAATCGACCTCTCCCCAAGCCCATCGAGCTCTCCTCGTGCCGACCCAGCTCTCCCCGTGCCGATCGAGCTCTCCCCATGCCAGTCGAGCTCTCCCTGTGCCTATCAAGCTCTCCTCATGAGTCACCTGGTTTAATTTCAACGCAGGATTAGCTCAGTTCAAGCAGGGAAGGATGCTCCTTCCTTGGACTGATCCAGGTTGAAGCGAAGCTGCCCCCAGCTCCTGAAGGAATTACTCTGTACGAATTCCCTATGAACCCAGCAGCTCTGAAATTCCCCTGGAGTTCAGAGGGAAGGGGGTTTCTTGCCCCCGCTGAAGTCCTGCCCGGGTTTTTCTCCCCGTCTACACAGAAATACGATCTCAAGCCAAGTGCCAGGGGTGGTAAACACCCGCGGAGGGTGACAGGGAGATACGGGCTCCTCCGGCACTGCCAAGTTACTCGGATGACTTAATGAATTGCCGCATTTCACATGTCACCCAGTGTCTTCGCAAACATCTCATGCATGTTATTTACAAACGCTCCTCGTGGAAAGCCTGGCAGAAAGGCCGTCTGCAGAGCTTCCAAAAGCTCCTGCCATCCTCGAACGCATCCCGCAGTCTCCCAAGCCCTGCAACAACAACCCTTTGAGGATCCCAAATCTTTTCCAAAGCCTTTGGCTAAGCTACAGGCAAACCCTCCCGGCTGCACTGGTGCCAGCGGACTACGGACAAGGACCATCACTAGTGCCATGGGTGATGAGCAACGTCCAGAGAGCATCAGTCGCTCTGGAAATGAAGTCTGAACAACTAAATCCAGGATTTTAGCATTTCAGCAAAAGGGAAGCCTCACAAGCAAATCCTGGTTGTTTCACCCATCTATTCCCCCCGTACACGGAGCAAAGGCAGTGATTCCTCCTGCCGCAAAGGGCTGCGAGAAGCAGAGATGAAAAGCTCTCCAGCAGACATGGGTTTTTATCGATAAGCTCAGCACCATCCTCCTCCGTACGCTCCACCCAGACCCTGCTTTTGTAGGGGATGAGAGGGTCTGACAGCCGTAACCGCTCACAAACCCCCAGGACCGCCCTCTCTTACTCCATACTTTCTTTTTTTGAACAGAAAGCCAAGAAAAATTGAAGGCGACTTAAAGGAAATTTGGTGGGCACGGTGCTAAAAGCAGAGAGCAGGAGCGAAGGTAAAACAGCAGCACAGGGCATTAGAGCCCCCGTCACAAAAGCAGCTTGCGGAATAAGCTGCCGTTGTTCCCTGTCACTTTTTAGGCAAGGCTGCTGAGAGGGGATTACAGTACAGGCGGCTTAAAAGGAGCAGGTGAGGGGAGATACACCGGGATAACTCAAAGAAAATACAAATTACTGTCTCCCCGCTGCTGGGGAGGGGGAGAGGGGGAACGTACCGGTGAACTCCTCTTAGGATGACAGTTTAGCCTCAGAAAAAAAAATATATAAATCACCCCGATTCTCTGAATTATAAACCATGTTGCCACCTCGTCTCCACGCCAGCCTCCCATCAGCTTCCCGTAATTAAAGGACGGGGCTGGAGAGACACGGCTACGGGAGATAAAAGTGTCACCAGGATTCCCGTCGCTGCCGGAGTCGTTCGTTAGCCAGCCCGGCTGACAAGTCTGGTGCTTGAAAACTGAAAACTCCTCTTCCTCTCCGGCGGGAGGCTGCTGGTGAACCCAGCGAGCGGCTCTTTGTGGGGATGCTCGAGGAGCGGGACCACTCTGGCACCTCCCTGCCCGCAGCAAGGTCCCCCAGCACCCCGCCTTCTCCTCTCCCGCTCCATCCCTGACACCCTGCGGCTTCCTCCAACCCTCATTCTTAGTGTCAGGGGTGCCAGGGCTTTGGTGTAGGGA